ATCACTAATGATCAGGGACATGCAAATCAAAACCACAATGCAATTCAACCTTACTCCTGGAAGAATGACAATAATCAAAAAATTAAAAAACAGTAAATGTCAGGGTGGATGCAGGAACACTTCTATACTGCTGGTGAGAATGTAAACTAGTGCAGCCACTATGGAAAACAGTGTGGAGATTCCTTAAAGAATAAAAGTAGAGCTACTGTTTGATCCAGTAATCCCACTACTGGGTGTCTACCCAGAGGAAGAGAAGTCATTATACAAAAAAGATACTTGCACATGCATGTTTATAGCAGCACAATTTGCAGTTGCAAAATTGTGGAGCCAAACCAAATACCCATGAATTAACGAGTGGATAAAGAAACTGTGATATAGGCCAGGAGTGGTGGCTCACGCCTGTAATCCCAGTACTTTGGGAGGCCGAGGCAGGCAAATCACCTGAGGTCAGGAGTTCAAGACCAGCCTGGCCAACACGGCAAAACCCTGTCTCTAGTAAAAATACAAAAATTAGCTGGGCATGGTGGCATGTGCCTGTAATCCCAGCTACTGAGGAGGCTGAGAGAGGAGAATTGCTTGAACCTGGGAGGTGGAGGTTGCAGTGAGCCTAGGTTGCGCCACTGCATTCCAGCCTGGGTGACAAGAGCGAGACACTGTCAAAAAAAAAAAAAAAGAAAGAAAGAAAGGAACTGTGATATATATATTACATACATGTATGATGGAATACTGCTCAGACATAAAAATGAATGAATTAATGGCATTTGTAGTGATCTGGATGAATTCGAGACTATTATTCTAAATGAAGTAACTCAGGAGTGGAAAACCAAATATTGTATGTTCTCACTGACATGCGTGAGCTAAGCTATGAGGACGCAAAGGCATTGTATCATAAGAATGATACAATGGACTTTGGGGATTTGGGGAGAAGGTTGGGAGGGGTGAGGGATAAAAGACTACAAAAAGGGTACAGTGTACACTGCTCGGGTGATGGGTGCACCAAAATCTCACAAATCACCACTAAAGAACTTACTCATGTAAGCAAATACCACCTGTACCCCAGTAACCTATGGGGAAAAAATTAAGTTATAAAGGTATATTTATTTTTATGGTTAAAAAAATTTTTTCCTTTAGTTATAGAAGACTGACGTGCCTGGAAAAGAAGCCTGAGAATTGGCTGCCCTGGGGAAGGATCCTAGGAGGCTAGGGTTGAAGAAACTTATATGAACCCACCTCCTTGGAGAGTGCTTGGTTTCCTGAATTGTTAGGAAAGTTGTTGAGACACTGAGGACTGTAGTGAAGGGAGAGTATTTGTTTTAGACAATAACAGATGCTGGTATGAATAAAAACAGGTGGTGGCAATCAATTCCTAATCGGGAGCCCAGAGAAAGGAATCCACATTTGGATCCTCTTTCAGTTTAATAAAATTCTTTGAAATATATCAGGAAGGCTCCCTGTTGCCTTCAGTAAATGGCTTGCTTGCTTTTTTTTTTCCACTCAAATCTATACAGTATAAGCTTTTGGACCTTGCTTTCCATACTATGTCAGACCAAAAGTTGCACTTAGAAAATCTCCATCTTATATAATCTCCTTACTTTCAGTGAGAGAACAAAGATGCAGATTTGCCAAGAGTCAACCTGTTATTACTGGAATTCCTGTCCCAGAGCTTACTTCATATAACACGAAGTTCCTGTTTCCACAACAGCAGCCAGGCCCTATCTGTTCCATTTCCTTCTCCTTTTTGTAATGAAATGATAGAAGTTAGGGACTCTAAATAATTTGCACTGAGAGTATGTAGCCCTCAGAACCTTTATTATGTTTCACTTCAAGAAATGTTTACTGACTACAACGTCCAAGCCTTAACACTACTAGTTGTTGCTCCAGCAGATAAAAGCCTCAAACATAGTTGCAGCTAAGAGTCTCTCTAAAGGATTATTTCATCTCCACCCGAAACAGAAAGGCCTGGTAACTTGTACCAATATATTTCTTTCTTTCTTTTTTTTTCTTGTTCTGTTTCCTCCTGCCCTGAACACTCTTCCCCTGGCCTCAATCCTAACTCCAGCTCCTGCCCTTACTCTTCCTTTAGCACTCACTTCAAATATATTAAAGAATTCCTAATACCCCAGACTTTAGCTATTCCCCTAGCATCTTCACTTCTTCACTGCCTATTACGGTTGTAATTATGTAATTAGTTGCTGTTTAAAGACTGTGTCCCTAGTCGGAATAAACTTTGTGAACTCAGAAGCTCCGGCTGTCTTGTTCACTGCTTTGTCCATAGCATTTGTCCCAATGCCCAGCACGCAATGGGATTCATTAAATATTTGATGAATGGATGGCCACGTTCATGTTGTAGAGATACATATGGCCTCTTCCTTGACTTGTGGGTTCTGAAATAGAAAGAATCTGGCCTGTTCCATATCGTATTGTTATTCTTTTAACTTTGATTTGGTTTGATTATTTTTATCCTCTGTGTTTTTACGTTTTATTTTGAAAAGGCAAGAAAGAACTCTCAAGTAGAATTGCCTCTGGTAGTTGAAGCCACACCAGTGTTCTCAGAATACACCCTGTCCTTTCCAATTTCCTTCATATGCTGGAACCACCAACAGTCTTGGAGTAACAAGTCTTAAATTCTGATTCTCAGTCTGCTGAAGTAAGATCCCTCGTGGCCCCAACCACATCCACTTTCTCTCAGCAAGCCTGTCTGTTCTCATCAGAACTTCTCTCTTCTTCCTAAAGCATTTCATTTTCACCTCTGTTTAACCGTTATCTTTTCTGGCTTTTTACTGTAGTTGTTTTGATACCCATCTACCTAACCTACTAAACTCTGTTCTGTCTGAGGGCAGGTACACTGAACAAATAAAATGTCTGAATGACCGGTGTGTTCTCAGCATATAGCACAACGTTAGGTGTTTATTAAACACAATTAATTTTTTCATTAGTATAGTAGCAGAGTGACTGGGGTAAAAGTCCTTTAGTCTTATCATTTCCATTCATCAATTCCATTCATCAATTCCATCATATATTCTCCCTTACTTCCACCAAGAAGTCCAGAGAATAAAGACATCCTATTCTCTTTTCCCTTCCTATGAAAGGTTTCCAAAATTACTGAGGAAGAAGAAAGAAGTGGGGAGGCTTATGTAAGCAGAGAACAAACAGAATAATGCCAATAAATACATGCATTAGTTAAAGCCCTGCAGCTCTTCCTCAAATCGATGACAAAAAGTTCAGAGTGCCAGGAGCATCTGGCAAAGGGCATCTGCTGAAACTGATGGCTCAAAAGAAAAAATAAAAATAAAAAAGAAAGACGAAAAAGCAATAGTCCATGTGATGATAAATGGAACATTCCTTATTGTTGATTCTTAGACAGTAATTCTTGCATTGTATGCTTTATAGTGGAAATTATTTTTCCTGATGTGTAAACATCTAAAAGCAATATATTCAGCCCAGGCACTGCGGTTCACAGCTGTAATCCAAGCACTTTGGGAAGCCAAGGCAAGAGGATTGCTTGAGGCCAAGAGTTCAATACCAGCCTGGGCAACACAGTGAGACCATGTCTCTACAAAAAAATTAACAATTAGCCAGGCACAGTGGCTCATACCTGTAGTCCTTGCTACTCAGGAAGCTAAGGCAAGGAGGCTCGCTTGAGCCCAGGAGTTTGGGAATGCAGTGAGCCATGATCATGCAACTGCACTCTACCGTCTCAAAAATAAATAAGTAAAAATAGTATATTTACTGAAAGCAAATATATAGACCTAGAAATTTAAGTTCTAAACCCATTTCTGCCTCTATGTAGCAGGGGGACCTTGGTCAAGTCAGATTATCATCTACAGGTAGTTGTGCTGCATATGGGGCCTCTTGTTACAGATTTAAAAATAGAAAACCTCCGAAATTCCTTTTATTCAAACCAGTCCTCATGGAACCAAATGTGGTCATGGCAAGGATGCAGTCAGGCCATGGCTGTCTATGAAAAACAAGATTGATGCCATTATTGAAGATATGATATCATATCAGACCTAGGGAAACAAATCTTCTTGTCAGCTGTCAATTAATTTCCATTCACGTGTTTCTCTGTTTTTGTCAGTCCAACTGGTACTTATTAAAAGCTTGTTACTCAAAAGAAATAACCTAATATGGCAGGATGGTGCATCAGGAAGCCTGTGCTTTAAATCTGACTGTGCTGCTACAAGCTGTGTGATCTTAGACACTTTATAATAGTGACAATTGCCAACTACTGAGCATCTACTCTCTGCTCATTGTGCTAGGCACTTTACAGGTGCTATTTCCTTTAGTTCTCACAAAGCCCTTCATGATAAGTGCTATTAGCCTCATTATGCAGATAACTGCAATACGACTTAGAGAAGTTAAGTAATTTGCTACAGATCACATAGCTGATATAGTAAGTGAAATTTTTTTTCCGAAAAGCAAGTGCTTCTTTCCAAAAGGCTTTTTTTGCAAAGGGATGTGAATGAATTTTTTACTCAATTTTTTTCCAACCATAAAGTTAGGGAATTTAGTTATGTGACCTCCAGGAGTGATATTAAATAAATTTAACCTTGTTGACTTTTTATAATGGAATTTTTTGAGGGGAGGGGACGGGGTCTCACTCTTGTCACTCAGGCTGGAGTAGAGCAGTGTGATCGTGGCTATTTTTTGTAGTGACAGAGTTCTGCAGTGTTGTCCAGGCTGATCTTGAACTCCTGGCTAAAGCCATCTGCCCACCTCGGTTTCCCAAAGTGCTGGGATTACAGGTATGAGTCACTACAGCAGGCCTATAATGAAAAATTTTTATCATACACAAGAATAGAGAGATTAATTCAGTGACCAATCCCACAGCCACAAAAATCATCACTTCATAGCCACTCTTATTTCATCTATACCCATTCACTTTTCTCTTAGCCTCCACCCCCAGGGGATTCTTGTGAAGTAGTCCAGCTATATTATTTGATCTGTAAATATTTTAGTATTTATCATGAAAGAAAAAGACTTTTAAAAACATAATCCTGATCCTTTTGTAGTTCATGAGCGTGATGATTGGATGTTCACATGCATGTATGAGATGTGCCACCCTTGAACCTTGTTATGAAGTCAGTACATTACCCATCTGACATGAAAAATAATAAGCCAATACCATTAGCATGCCTTAAAAATTAACAAGAATTCCTTAATATCATAAAATATCCAATGTTTATGTTTCTTTTATTTTCTCTTTCTTTTTTAAAAAAAACTAGTTTAATATATTTTAATAGCAAACTTACAGGACTAGCACAGAAGACAGACAACATTAAAAACATGTACTTGTATCTAGGACAACTCAGAAAAGTTTAGTAAACACACAGAATCAACCGTATTATCAAATGCTACCAGCATTATTTAGTTGCCATCAATAAGACATTTGCTTGTTTTTAAAAAGTCCGAATGTTGGCATTGTCCAGAAAATTTTAACAGGTTTATTTATAATTGTTATAAAGTTGAACTGCTGACCAGGCGCGGTGGCTCACATCTGCAAATCCAGCTCTTTGGGAGGCCGAGGTGGGCGGATTGCCTGAGGTCAGGAGTTTGTGACCAGCCTGGTCAACATGGTGAAATCCCATCTCTACTGAAAAATACAAAAATTAGCTGGGTGCCTGTAATCCCAGCTACTCGGGAAGCTGAGACAGGAGAATCACTTGAACCCGGGAGGCAGAGGTTGCAGTGAGCTGAGATTGCGCCATTTCACTCCAGCCTGAGTGATGAGAAACTCCGTCACAAAAAAAAAAAAAAAAAAAAAAAAACAAAAGAAAAAAGAAAAAAGAAAAAAAATGTGGAACCGCTGAAACTTGTTCACTGAAACATTTTGACTTACATTAATGCTTTGTGTCCTTGCATTTTTAAAATTTGCTATTGATACATAATAGTTGTGCATATTTTTATGGTGCATGTGAAAATTTGATACATTCATATAATCAAATCTGTGTCCTTGCATTTATATTAAAAATTCATACACAAATGAATATGGAGAAATTGCCAATACCTGATTTCTGTCATCTGTTTTTCCACTTGAAATCATTGTATGTAGGTACCATTTGACCTCATGGAGAAAAAAATAACTAACATTCACAACTACCAGTGTCAGAAAGAAAAGAGAGAGAGAGAGTGTATGCATAAATGAAATGTTTTCCATCACAGTGAATTCTTAAGCATGTTCTTCAGGTATGTGGTGTGCTTGCTGGATGTCTTTTGCCATAATTGTTACACATTTGACAAAGGTTGGTGTCTTCAGAAAGGCCAGCCAAATAGGCCTCCCTTGCCTGCACAAAGCACCAATATCTGTCCTCTGGAAGCGCAGATCTGTTTTGAAGTCCTGAGAAATTTCTTGTACTAGATGCTGGAAGGGAGGTTTGTAAATGAGAAGTTTATGGACTTCTAATAATATTTAATTTTATAGAGTACCACAGTACCAGTGCAACAGTACCTCAACAATGAGGTTTCTTCAGCACTCCGGTAGAGGGTGAACTCTTGCAAATGACTTCTGTATCCAGTGGCTTCCTGAATGCTTTAGATAGATTTTTGGACCATAGTATAAAAATCTTTCTTACCCCGTTCTCTTTCCACTGGAGTTCAGGGAGCTAGAGGCAGCTTATAATCTTGCAGTCTCTCTCTGTCTCTCTCTCTCTCTCTCTCTCTCTGACAATTTGGTCATTAAAGATGATGTAAGATATTTTTTTTCACAGCTTTTTTGTTGTTGTGTGTGTCCCAAGGTAGTATATTCCAGTAGGGGTATACAATCAAATAACTGTGTTCTAACATCACTGAATATCAAAATATTAAAACAAAATGTTAAAACCAATCAGAATGGACAGCCCCCTGCTATACTACAATCTAACCCTTTCGTTATTGGACTGTGAGGGTGAGGGGGTGGGAAAGGGTAATATCTCAGGGCAGCAGTAGTTCACCGACCTATATGTTGTTTAACAACCCAACACAACATTATTTCAATGTTTCGTTTTGTTTTGTTTTGTTTGTGGCTGTGTCTCTGCTCTGTCACCCAGGCTGGAATGCAGCAGTGTGAACACAGCTCACTGCAGCCTCAACTTCCTCGGCTCCACCTTAGCCTCCCAGTAGCTGGAACTACAGGCATGCACCACCACACTTGGCTAATTTTTTGTAGAGATGGGGATTCACCATGTTGCCCAGACTGGTCTTGAACTCCTGGCCTCAAGTGATCTTCCTGCCTCAGCCTCCCAGAGTGCTAGGATTACTGGCATAAGCCACCACACCTGGCCTGTTTCAAGACCTGGGAATACCAGCAGGGCCAGGTGTGGTAGCTCACGCCTGTAATCCTAGCACTTTGGGAGGCCAAGGCAGGCGGATTGACTGAGCTCAGGAGTTCGAGACCAGCCTGGGCAACACAGTTTAAAAAAATACAAAAAATTAGGTGGGCATAGCAGTATACACCTGTAGTCCTAGCTACTCGGGAGGCTGAGGCAGGAGAATCACTTGAACCCAGGTGGAAGAGGTTGCAGTGAGCCAAGATCACCGCACTGCACTCCAGCCTGGGCGACAAGAGCGAGACTCCATCTCAAAAAATAAATAGTAAAAAATAAATAAATAAATATATATATATATATATATATATATATATATACACACACACACACATATATTTTAAGAGTTGGGGTTTCACCGTGTTGGCCAGGATGGTCTCTATCTCTTGACCTCATGATCTGCCCACCTCGGCCTCCCAAAGTGCTGGGATTACAGGCTTGAGCCACCGCGCCTGGCCAATAAATTTTTTTTAAATCAAAAACTGGGAATACGATCCTCTGCATGCTGGCTTATTACAAACTGTGGTACCTTTAAATTCCTTCGTAGCTCCAACAGGAATGTAAACAGTCACTCAATGGAGATATCCTTTTCCTGCTTCCTTACACTACTAGTCTTTATACTTTATATACATAAACACATACACACACACATATATAAACTTCACAATAACACAAGTGATTGTTTTCTTTTTTTCTTTTTCTTTCTTTCTTTCTTTTTTTTTGAGATGGAGTTTCGCTGTTGTTACCCAGGCTGGAGTGCAATGGCACAATCTCGGCTCACCGCAACCTCCGCCTCCTGGGTTCAAGCAATTCTCTTGCCTCAGCCTCCCGAGTAGCTGGGACTACAGGCACACACCACCATGCCCAGCTAATTTTTGTATTTTTAGTAGAGACGGGGTTTCACCTTGTTGACCAGGATGGTCTCGATCTCTTGACCTCGTGATCCTCCCACCTTGGCCTCCCAAAGTGCTGGGATTATAGACGTGAGCCACTGCACCCGGCCCGATTGTTTTCTATAATTCTGGAACAAAATAGGAATATGAGTTAAAACTATTAGGTAACAAAATTATTAGTATTTAGAACGATTATAATTAGATACCAAAAAGAAAACTAACAAAAAATTAGAAGAAGAAAATTATGAGTACAAACTTGTAGGCCAAAGAAGTCTAAAAATCTATTGTGGTGGGGCCAGCTACAGTGCTAGCAGACCTGGATCAATTAGTAATTATAATTGAAGTTAAATGTAATTAAATATGTAATTTAAAAATAATTAATTATATAGCTTCCAGCTCTTCTAATTTAATTCCACTAAAATTCTTAAGAATTACCTGCTCTGGTCTCTTCCTCGGTGCTGCCCACGGACATAGCAGCGAATTCCTCGGCATCATGGCCGCCCTTAGACCCCTTGTGAAACGGAAGATCGTCAAAAAGAGAACCAAGAAGTTCATCCGGCACCAGGCGGACCGATACGTCAAAATTAAGCGTAACTGGTGGAAACCCAGAGGTATTGACAACAGGGTTCGTAGAAGGTTCAAGGGCCAGATCTTGATGCCTAACATTGGTTATGGGAGCAACAAGAAAACAAAGCACATGCTGCCCAGTGGCTTCCGGAAGTTCCTGGTCCACAACGTCAAGGAGCTGGAAGTGCTGCTGATGTGCAGCAAATCTTACTGTGCTGAGATTGCTCACAATGTTTCCTCCAAGAACCGCAAAGCCATCGTGGAAAGAGCTGCCCAGCTGGCCATCAGAGTCACCAACCCCAATGCCAGGCTGCGCAGCGAAGAAAATGAGTAGACAGCTTATGTGCACGTTTTGTGTTTAAATAAAACTGGCATCTTCCTTAGTTTTAAGTCTTCCGCTTCTTGGCTAAGTAAATGAGTAGACAGCTTATGTGCACGTTTTGTGTTTAAATAAAACTGGCATGTTCCTTAGTTTTTAAAAAAAAAAAAAAAAAAAGAATTACCTGCTCTGTAAAGTGAAATAAAATATATATTTGGAAAAAAAAAGAATTACTTGCCCTGGCAGTTATCTGTGCTGTTGCCTTCGCTAACAGCACTCTTTCCTAAGGAGTAATATCCCCCTCTCCCACCACCATCCACATGGCTACAGCCACTTGCTAGATCAGGTGTAGGCACTTGATCTAAGCCAGTACAATCAGAGGCCTTCTCCAGGATTTTTCAGACTGGAATGAAGGAGAGACAGCCACATGGTTCTTAAAGGACACTGACTCAAGAGCTGTTGGTGTCTATGTTTTCTACTTTAGGTAGATTCTGTCGTCAGTGAGAGCAGATAAAGCTGATGTGCAGAGAAGGGCCAAGCCAATTGTCAAAGGGCATTTTGATGGCAGTGGGGTTTCCGAGATATAACTACAGCCCTGCTCATCTCTTGGTTTGTCTTTTTAACCCTTCTTTGGAATGCAAAAGCCAATAATTTCTCATTTTTGCCAAAGGAAATTCAAATTAGGTTTCTATCACTTGCTGTCAAAAGAATTCCCACTTCATTGGCAAAAGGAAATGAATGGAATAAATTTTCCCTAAGTAGTAGATTTATATTTGAGTAATGTTCATTTTATTATATACAAATCTTTTCGATTCCCTATTATCGACTTTTAAAAATTGGAATGTTTATGAATTTTTGATTATGTGATAAAAAAAGATGTTCAGGGTCTAGGGTGTGGTAAGAGAGGCAGGAGATAAGTTTGTAAAAGTAAATTGAGATTAGAATATACAGGGTCTTAAATGTCATGTGAAGTTTAAACTTTATCCTGCAGGTAATGGGGATCCATTTGGCAAGCTTTTAAGCAGAAGGATATATTTAGATAAATAATTTTGGTGGCAATTTGGAGCTTCAATAAAATAGGGGAAAAATGAAAACAGCTTAATAGGTGCTTGTGCTGGGAACCTAATTAGATAAAGGTTATTCCAGTTGTCCAAGGCAGGGTTGATGAGAGAATTGCTTGGGAAAGTTACTCTGAAAATTGTTGGGAAATGGAAGGATTCAGGAGACATTCGAAAGGCAGAATTGGTACTACTAAATGATCACTTGGACACGGGATGAAAATGAGGAAATATAGAAGGACTATGACTAGATGGGAATGCCATCAACACAGGAAAAGGAGGAGGAACAGATTTGAGAAGACACTATTCTAACTGAGCATCACCACTCACTTTTATACTTTCAGCAGGTATACGGCTAAAATGTATGATGTCCCATTGTAGCACTCACATTATATCTTGGCAGGTTGTTTCTAATTTATTGGATTTGCTACACAGTGTAGGATGCCAAAGTAATTGTTACATTCTGGAGCTTAGGAGTCCTACTTGGTCTCTGATGAGGAAGGTATTAACAGTGATTTCTGTGATGACGGTGTGTACTGGTCTGGGAAAAATCTTTGATTTAATGCCAATAGAAGTAAAAGTAATTATAGCCAACTTAAAATTCTGTATATCACGTAATAGAGAATGCCATTAACTCATTGTCTACTCTGCCTTCCTCTACTTTCATGATTAGGGGCAGAGGAATTAAAATTTCATAGTGAAATAAAATTAGATAGATATGATAAAGTAATACAAGGCTCACATTTCAAAGTAAATATTTCTGTGTTCAAAGCAATTCACCAGAGGGCCACTTTCCCTGTACCTTCCCTAAAGAACTAAAGAGCTCTTGTCCACCTGATTTCTAAAGCAAAATTATCAGATGCCAGCAATGTAACTTGTTCTGTGTCAAAAACAGAACTAGAGACTCTTTATCCTAGAGGACTAGCTCACTGTCATTCCAATATTTTTTGGAAAGTGTGAAATTCTGATTTGCAGATGGTGACTTTGCTAAAATTGAAAGCTTAGCAGCTCATATACACTAACATCTTTATAATTCTGACAATACTAATGCGCTACAGGAAACACTGGCCAAATTCTCCTTGGTTTGGTTTCATTCTTTTGCTAAATCCCTTCTCACATCAGTACTGACCAATAAAAATATAGAGTAAGCCACATTTGTGATTTTAAATTTTCTAGTAGCCATATTTTTTTAAAGTAAAAAGAAACATGTAAAATACATTTTAATAGACTTTTTAAAAAGGTTTATTTTTAGAGGAGTTTTAGGTTCACAGCAAAATTAAGAGGAAGGTGCAGAGACTGCTTATATACCCCTCGCCCCCACACATTCAGAGCATACCCCATTATCAATATTCCCCACCAGAGTGGTACATGTTTTATAACTGATGAGCATACACTGAAACACTCAAAGTCCATAGTTTACTTTAGGGTTCACTCTTGGCGTTGTGCATTCTATGAGTTTGGAGAAATTTATGACCTATATTCACCATTATAGTATCACACAGAGTAGTTTCACTGCCCTAAAAATCCTCTGTGCTCCACCTATTCATCCCTCCCTCCACCCAAACCCCAGGCAACAACTGATCTTTTTACTGTCTCCAGAGTTTTGCCTTCTCCAGAATGTCATATGGGTGGAATCATACAGTATGTACAGCCTTCTCATATTGGCTTCTTTATGAAATTAATTTTAAAACTACTTTTTCTTTAACCAAAATTGTTTAATGTGATTATTTTATCATGTAATCAAAATTTATATATTACTAATTAAATATTTTGCATTTTCTTTTCATACTAAGTCTTCTAAATATAAACCAGATCTATATCTGTATCTATATCTGGTGTATATTTACACCAAAATCTGGTTCATTTACACCAGATTTTGAAGACTTACAGTGTATCTTAATTCAGACTAGCTGTATTTCAACTCGATCAGCACATGTGACTAGTGACTACTATATTAGACAATGCAACCTTAGATAAGAGTCACAACTGGAGACATCTTCAAATATTTAAGCTGCCTGTCCCTTAAATCAACAATGAATACAATGTCCTTCACACTGTGTTTGCCACTTACAGCTGGAAGGCCACTCCAAGTCTAAGGGAGAAAGGTAATGTGGGAAATTACAAATATGCATTCTAATATTTAATCTTTTTTCATTTAAGCATCTATCCTGTCGTCCAGTTTTCTATGCTTTGAAGAATGGAAAATGGTGATACTTTTCTGTCATGATGAGTAATGGATTAGATAGCAGGGAAAAGTGGAGTTGCTATTACATTGAATTTATTCTCAGTTACAGAAGTCATGTGCTATTTTGGAGAGAACAGCAGTTTAAGAAGAGGATTTGAGCCTTTATATGGTCTGAGACAGATCAAGTCAATTTTTTTGGTATTTTCTCATTCTCTAAAATGAGACTGGAGTAGTTCAGTGGCTTTTAAATCATACTCTAGGGAACATAGGGGTTTATACGGAAAGAGTGAGAGTGAGGAAGGATGTAGGTGGGATTTTTCATGCACACACACACACACACACACACACACACTAGCAGATTCAACCACTGCTGGATCAAGTTTATCAGATATGTATATTAATCTTCAGTGTAAGCTCCAGACCTAATTAAAATTTTAAACATAATAACTAGATCATATATCATAATAATTTGATCATATCTACTTTTCTTTTCAATGATAATATGAGGTATAATGTTCACATCTTCTGACCCATTTCTAGCGGTCCTTTCACTTACGTTTTTCTCAGACTTCCTTATGACCAATCTTAACCTCCAAGTCACTGGTCAAGTTACCGAACTATTAGCCACTGCTAATTCCAGGCAAACTGAACAATGAGATACATATTATTTCAATTATTTCAATTTCTGCCCATGTTGAGGATTGCCCCTTTTTCTTCTTTTTACTTTTTTTAAATAAATTGAGATGGGGAATGGGGGCGGGTCTCACTATTTTGACCAAGCTGGTCTCGAACACCTGGCCTCAAGGACTCCTCTCATCTCATTTTCCCAAAGTGCTGAGATTACAGGTGTGAACCACTGTGCCTGGCCAAGGATTGTCCTTTTCCCTGGTGTTTTTAGGTCTTGGAGTGAGCTGCAAATGCTGAAGGAACCCACTTCAAGCCAAGGAAAAAGGATCTGTAAACCAGGATTTAAATTTTTTTCCACTTAAATCAATTGGACATAATGAATACCCCACGAGACACTCACATGTAAGGTAGGGAGGGATGGCAGTGTGACAGATGTAAGCAGCAGGAGAATACAAGCAATGTACTCACTAAACTCACTCACCCTCTGGACTATCCAGGCCTGGTAAGTTATGAGCCTGAATTAACACCTGGATCTTGATAGGCAATTATGACTGAAAAGTCACTTGGTGTCCCAGGGTTAGGTGTTCCACTGGGACCTAGTAGCAAGCCTCTAAAACCCAAAGAGTTCCACCAAAATAGTGCCTCTTCATATTGGTAAGGAGCTCAGGTGCCACAGTTTATCTCTCACTTTAGAATTATAGCCAAAGGGGCCAGGCACAGTGACTCACACCTATAATCCTAGCACTGTGGGAGGCTGAGGTGGGCAGATCATGAAGTCAGGTATTTGAGGTCAGTCTGACCAACATGGTGAAATCCTGTCTCTACTAAAAATACAAAAATTAGCCTGGCGTGGTGACAGGTGCCTGTAATCCCAGCTACTCAGGAGGCTGAGACGAAAGAATCACTTGAACCCAGGAGGCAGAGGTGGCAGTGAGCTGAGATTGTGCCACTGCACTCCAGCCTGGGTAACAGAGTAAGACTCTTTCTCAAAAAAAAAAAGAAAGAAAAAAGAAAATATAGCCAAACATGTTCTGTATACCACTGGACCCTTGAAAAATTCCCACTCGAGTTCTCATGTATTTTTTTCATTGTATCCAAGGTATTTCTTGCTTTCTACTCTTTTGTCCCCACCTATATAGGATAAATAATCTGATATTATGTGAGATAAGGAAATAAGAAGCTTTCTGCTGACTTAATTGTGACTCAGGGTCCAAAAGGATGCAATCCTGTGGCAAGAAGGTGAAGCTATACTCTTGTCTGTACCAGATGAAAGCGAAATATTTCTGCTTCATCATTCACAACTGTCCTGGTAAATGGCCACAAGTCCCTTTGCATACCAGGAGGTAGCATCAAGTAGGTACTTCCTCAAGGGTACTCAGATTTCCTTTAACTGTGTCTGAGAACTGATTCATATCTGGAAATTGGATCCTGTCTCTCTAGACACAAAGGTTTGTTTGTTTGCTTGTTTACTATACAAATCAAATAGGACCTTAGTGACTGCCCATTTTTTTCCATCCTAGGGATTCCATAATCAGTTACCTCCCAAGAATCCATGGGTCAGGGCATTCTGATTTTCACACTGACCCTACTACCTTTTAACTTGACCCCATGCAAATGTGCTACCTATATCATGTCACTCTGGGATCCTGCCATCCCTCTGAAACTCAGTAAGCCAAATTCAACTGTAGCCTCTTTTCAACATCATCTCTGGTCCATGTGAAATATTCTCTAAATAACTTTTTAAATATACTGTCCCTTCCCTCATAAATTTGTTTCTCAAAGCCTTTGTAAAGAGTGTCTTCTGGACCTTTTTTTTTTTATCGTTTTTATTTTAATTAGATACAGGGTCTCGATTTGTTGCCCAAGCTGGCCTCAAACTCCTGGGTGAAGTGATCTTCCCATCTCAGCCTCCCAAGTAGCTGGGACAGGTGTGAGCCACTGCACCTGGCTAGATTCTTTTTTGGAAGACATAACTGAGCTGGGTGGTTGGATCAGATATGACAAATCTAACCCAGAATTCCTGTCTCCTGAAATTAAAAAATTTGTTCTTTTACATTTTACCTAAGAGATTTGCATCTCAACTTTATTTTGTATGATTTACCCCTCAGTCTGCATTTCAAACAACATTTAGCAGAGCAAACAGAATTATTCCTATCTTCTCAAACTAGAATAGTTAATCCAGAAACTCTTGTAAGCCTTATTAATAAATTCAACCCAATCTCAAACTGTGTCCTCTTCTTCATTCAACATTCTTAAAATCTATTCTAACTCACAGATTAATTAGCAAATTTCTTCAATTCCTTTGGTGCTTGAGACATACATTACTGAACTTCACTTTGTAACTGGCCTCTTGAAGCACACTAAATTTTTTTTTTTTTTCCTACGTTGGGTACAGAGTCTCAGTTTGTCTCCCAGCCTGGAGTACAGTGTTGCGATCTTGACTCACTGCAACCTCTGCCTTCCAGGTTCAAGCAGTTCTCCTTGTCTCAAATTCCTGAGTAGCTGGGATTACAGGTACCCACCATCATCCCCAGCTAATTTTTGTATTTTTTAGTAGAGTCAGGGTTTCGCCATATTGGCCAGGCTGGTCTCCAACTCCTGACCTCAGGTGCTCTGTCCACCTTAGCCTCTCAAAGTGCTGGGATTACACGTGTAAACCACTGGGCCTAGAGAATTTAACTCTAATTATAGATCTGTAGATAGTGCAGGGTAACAGTAGGGTATAAGAGAACCTCCAATAAATTAACTCCCTCAAATTAGGAAGTTTCAACATCTTTAATTAAAGGAGAAATAGTTTTATATGTAAAAGCTTCAGCTGCCAAGAAGGTGGAGAGTTTGGAGACAAGGAGTCTTTGAGTTCTTCAAATTCTCCTATAGCATTTTAATTTTAAAGCTCTTACTCTTTTGGAATCAGCACTTTAACATATGCTTTTCTAAGAACCCAGGTAGGGAGGTGAATTTGACTGATTTGCAAATCAGCGATCAACAAGAACAAATATTGTTTTATGGCTATCTCTATCCTGGGGCTATAAAAGTTTCTTTTAATGAATTCACAGCTTAGGTTTCAGTTCATGTTTTAAAATGAGAATTTAGAGATTTTCATTTGTTAATCTCTTCAAATGAAGCAACTAGCCTTAGCACCAGCTCTCGAATTCCTCATTTCCTTCATACTATTCTGTGACAACAGCAATTCTGTCCCCCATGGTCTTGTCTTTAATATTCAACTCAATCCTAATGCTCACAGGCATTAATTTTATTAGCTATTTTTCTACTCCAGGCTGTGGGTTTCCAGAGTCTCATCTTTGAATATTAATTGGTTTTTATTATCTTCAAACATAATGAGTCTGCATACCCAGATTCTCCTGATGTCCCTGAAAGTCTGTTGTTTGTCTCCTGATTTCCCTAAAAGTCTGTTGTTTGTAACTGAATCCCTATTACCAGTTTCTGTACAAGGCAGGATTCCTACTTGCAAGCATTAGTAACCAAATCTAGGTAGATTAAATAGAATGGAATTTATTGAAAGAATAACAGTATCTATATACAAAATTCTATTGCAAAGTTAAAAATCAGGCTCAGGAATCAGACAGGAGCCAAAGGAGAATGGCAACAGATGGATCAGCCAAGGACCGCTGTAGGAATGAATAGTCTGAATAGAACGCTTCCAGAACCGGGTGAAGAACTGTTAGAGTAAGAGCCTAAATAGAAACTAAGGACAATTCCACCACCATTCTCTTCTGAATTACTGACATCATCACTGTCTCAGCAAATAGCTTGATGGTCTCTGTATCTTTGCATCCCTCTGGATTCATTGACAGAATCCCACTGGACAAACTTCAGTTATCTGCTGATGTCCTTGCTGTCTAGAAGAGGAAAGATCTGCATTTTTTCATTTCTGTATCAGGAAAAGTGTTGAGATGCCAAAGTGCCAAAGCACACAAACCCCAGATATACAAATGCATCCAGGACACCATGCCTGGGTTTGTTTGTGGACTCACTATCTGTTTCATTGGTTGGTTTGTTTATCTTGCTGCCACTATGCTACTGTTTTAATTTCAGCTATTTTATCTCTTTTAAAAAAATCTGGCAGTTCAAATCCTCTTTCTTCTTAAATGGTTGTCTTTTTTTCTTGACCCTTTTCAGTTTAATTTTTATCAATGAATTTCGGAACTCTTTTGTAAACTTCCCAAAAAATATTCCATTGGCATTTCCATTGGAATTGTATTATATTTCTGAATATATTCGAGGAATAATTAAAAAAAATTTTAATGCCAAGTCTTCTTATCCAAGAACATAGTATATCTCTATTTAAGCCTTGGCAATTTTATAGTTGTCTTCACATAAATTTGACATGCTTCTTAAGTTTGTGCTCTTGTTACTCTGGTAATTAGAATTTTTTTCATTTTATTTTCCTTTAAAAGAATTTAAAAGCCCCCCTTTTGGACCACAGAAAATCTTAACATCTTAAAACCTAACTATGCAAATAGCTCTGATTCTAATTTCTCTTTTAAGCAATATAAATTATTGAACTACATTCTTCCTAGGTTTATCCAGATTTCCTTACCAAATTAAATCTCATACTTTGTAATGTAAATTAAATCTCTGAAAGTTAAAGAACGTTTCCCAGCTGACTAAAACAGGAAAAAACTCAGTCAATAGAATGGAATAAATTGGAAGATGAAGGTCACTGCACTAGTACGACAGTGTCGCCTAGTGGACACAAGGAAGCATAGACATGTTTATACCAAAAATGATCCCACTCTCTTCCACAGGCAATTAGAATCTGGGAGGTGCCTTTGTGGTCAACCAGGTCAACACCTCTGGCTTCCAAAAAGGAAACTGAGAAACAAAATGAAGAAATGACTGGCCCAAGTGCACACTGTCAACCCAAAGCTAAAATCCAAGATTCCTAACTCTCATTTTTCTGCCTTTTTGCTACCCTTTATTTCTTTTTTCTTCCTTTTCTTTTCAAAATATACTGTTTACTTATTATAAAGCAAGGTTCTAGGAATACAGATATAAAGATTTAGTCTTTGCCTTCAAATACAGTTTTACTAATTTTTTTTTAGCCATTTTCAGGGAATGAAAATTTGTTGGGGAATGACCAAGCAACTATTCAGGGAATGGTTCTCAGTCATCCACAAATTGACTCAAAATATGATTAATTAATTATTTCGATTTAACTGGAAAGTTCAATCACAAATGTGAAAATTGCCCTTGATCAGATTCAGACCATTTCATGAGGAGGGAAGACATGCTTTCAAATGGCCTGCATTAATCTTTATCTTCTTTCTCCTTTGCAGATTCAAAACTGAACTATCTTGCAAAAAAATACAAGATATTGAAAGTTTTTATGAGCACCTACCACCTAATCCCAAACACTATCATTCATATGTGCCTCATTGAGCAAATCTTTACTGAGGATCTATATGCCAGGTATGTGCTCAGCACTGGGCTTACTGTGGCAGAGAACAGATATGGCCCTGAGGTATCTGCTCTCACAAAGCTTACAGTCTCCTATTTGTGTATGTGTAATTCTCTAAAGCCCAGGAAAGTTGTTTTTCCCATTTTTCTTTGGCATCATACTGTTAGGCTATAGAAATCAGAGAGTATGCAAACATTTTCTAAAATTACTCTGCCCCACAAAAGGGAAACAAAAATAAGAATTTGGGGCCAAACAGAACTGGATTTGAATTCCAAGCCTGCCCTTTACAAGCTATGAAACTAGCTAATTCTCTGAGCCCCTGTTGCTTTCATGAAATGGAAATAATATGTATCCTGTGTAAGGGATCATATCCTTATTAATACCTAAACAGAGACAATACTTTTGGGGTCAAAAATATGAATTATATGGTCCATCTCCTAAAATTCACAAAAATTATCAAAAGAGAAGCATTGTCAATATTGTTCACTTAGTTTCATAAAGAATGTCACTTTCCAGAATTAATATAGACAGATACTCTTTGCCATTGACTTTTTCTTTTTTTAAAATAAGGTGAAATGCTCTAACAATGGATGCTATTACAACAGTTTCTGTAAGGCTATTAGTTTCTTTTTCCATGGATAGTTTCCAAGTCCTTGCTCCATAGAAACTAAGCCCTATTATTTCCGTTTGGATGACTAAATCTACTATAACCATTATTTATCTGTGTAACGGATCTGGTAGTAATCTGTGTGTAAACTTATCACTCCATCTATTTAATGATTTGACAAAGACAAGGATCATGTTTTATTTCACTCTGTTCTTCCCTCCCAGTGATACCTTACACAGAATTAACGCACACTAAATGTGTGCTGAGTAAAAAAAACTACCTTACTATGTGCTGTTTGACACGTAAGCCAAGAGAGAAAATTTGGCATATGTTGTAGGTAAACTTACTTTGTTTTACCTGAGAGTAGCAAGTATCAAACAGATTCAACCCCGTTACAATCCTGCTAGAACAAAAAGTAGATAAATTTCCCGGTCTCTACTCAAACCAAAACAAAACTTCAAAAGTATTGAGACACAAAGAGAAGGAATAGGACGGGGTCGGGGAGGACTGGTGTTTGTGCATGGTGTGCATGCAGCAGGCCCACATTCTTTCCCTGTTGTAACAGCTCGGAAAGGAAGCACCACACACCATCAGGTCTATGAAAAGCCCAGGGCTTCAAGGTCAAATGAGTTAGGGAAAGCTTGCCGAGCATTTTCCTCTCTCACAAGTTCACAGTGCACACTGGGAAATTAAAGGCTATAAAGAAAACTGTTTAACATTGTTTTACCTTGCAATCCCCAAATTCATTTGACCAACGTTTCATCTATAAACATGCCGCAGATCTGGCTGATTCTGTGGAAGGCACAGACTTCAGGAAACTGCTCCCCTGTGTTGAAAGGACTTCTTTCTCTTATTAATTCACAGACAAAAAGCTGCCATTTCATTTCCAAATCCTACAGGACTTGGAATGTTAGCATTTCCAGCAATGTTTTAACTATAGAAAAGTGAGACCACTTCCTGACAATTTAGAGGTCCCAGAAAGTTTATACGGCTGAATTTTAGATATGTAAAAAGAGGTCAGTTCGAATCCAGGAAATGGCTTCCCAGCAATGCCTGGAATGTCCTCAAAAAAACCAAGAAACAGATATCCAAGTCCTGTTTTGGATCTTGGAGGAACAGAGAAATTGAAGAGAAAAACATAAAATTATTGTCCCAAATCTCACTGATGTTTCTTCCAGTTTTCTACAAATAAATATAGAGTATCCATTTTCCCTGAATTCCATCTTGGGACTTTATTTTTGTGTGTTTCCATTCTCCTCGCTAGATGGCAGCACAGATGAAAAAATGCCAGAAAAACAGCAGGCTGGCCTCAGCAGCAGCAAACTGCCATCAGCAGCCCTCCCCCAACTCAGCCTTCCTTTTTTTTTTTTTTTTTTAAGAAAAGAATCTAAGATACCATGGCTGACACTTCTTCCCAAATAGATTCAATCAGTTACATGGGGAAACAAAGAATAACTGAGGACACACTGATACTGGTGAATGAGGGAACTAAACTATTTAACAGTGTCTCTCACATGTTACTTGTGTTTCTGTATCTAAAAGATAATGCAGGCATTGTTCCTAAGTCATGCAGATGGTCGTGTAAGCATGGTCATTTGTATCATTACACCGCACATCTGATAGGGCCGAACTCCAAGCCACCTGGTTTGCTGTAAGTATTGGATTCATTTAAGATCTATAACAATGCTATTTACTGACCCTCTTGTCAACCGATGCTGTGACGCTGCTGTAAAATGATTCCTACGTCACCAGATGCTGCACTGAAGCTTAGGAAGTTAGCATGAAGGTAAACACTTCATTAGAAGTATGCAGTTTATGGGCGAATTAATAATGCAAGAGAAAAGGAGTAGAGCAGACATAGAGAGAAGACCTTTGTACTTTACATCAAACCCTATCAAAAGAGATTAAAAAAAAAAAAAACCTTACTCTTTAGGGGTTCACTGAATCTCATCATTAAACAATAAAATGGGGTCTACCAGCAAGATGTTCTCGACAAAAATCTGCTGACAGGGAAAACATAAGAAAGCTAGACCCTACGATGTACGGCATTTCAAGGGCTCAAGAGTGTTCTAAAGAAAACTAAATTGTTAATGTGTAATGAACTGGACAGAAGCTGAAAAGTGACCTGTGTCTTTTAAACAGCAACAACAAAAGATCACCACGGGCCTGGGCATGGTGGCTCACCCCTTTAATCTCAGCACTTTGGGAGGCCAAGGCGGGCAGATCACTTGAGGTCAGGAGTTCAAGATCAGCCTAGCCAACATGGTGAAACCCCATCTCTACTAAAAGTACAAAAAGTTAGCCAGCCATGACAGTATGCTCCTGTAATCCTAGCTACACAGGAGGCTGAGGCACAAGAATCACTTGAACCCAGCAGGCGGAGGTTGCAGTGAGCCAAGAAAGAAAAAAAGAAAAATATCACCATGGGAATAAGAATATATAGTACATAAATAAACCAACCTGAAGCCAAAACAAAAAACGAAATGAATCTTTCCTATTTAAGAAAACATCAATTTTTGATGTGTTAGAGAATTTTTAAATTCTATCTCCATCCTTTTTTTTTTTTAATGAAAGCAGTCTTTCCACAAGATTACTCTACACACCACATCTTTCCTTGAATGAGCACCTTTGATGATTAGTGTGGGTTGAAATTAGTTAACATTATGATGAGTCAGGCTATCTGCCTCCACCAGCGCAGCTCCTAGTGCTCTAAGGGTACCAAATGCTTTTTCCTGGGCCCAAAGTTTGGAGACAAAATCAAGCCCTAAAATGAACAGGCAGTGAGGCATTGAGATAACATGGCATATGAGGGAGAGAAGGAGCTGGGACAGGCCTGCATTCATCTCAAAGACTACACCAGTCCAGTGCTGCAGGCCAGCAACCCTCAGCTCTGAACCTATCCCTGGAATCAAAACTCAGCTCATTCCTTCCAGAGACTCAAGAGCCTTGGAGGTATGAGACACCCAGGACAAAGCTGAAGGATAAAAGGCCTAAATGCTCTTCCACTCCCACTAATTCTGCATCTGTGCAGCCCACTAAACCCACCATCCCTCAAACCCTCAGTATCCTTAATGTGTGTCCATTTTCAATGGGCTACCCTCTTATGAACTCTCATCCTCATTCTAGACTCAGTTTCCCATTCCACCCTGTGAAATTGTGAAAAGAAATATATATTTGGTCTCTTCCCCTGGTTCCTGTCACATGCACCTGTGGAATCTCCAGAGTGGTAAGAGTTTCTTCGGTATGCTAATAAGACACTGGTAGCTGGGAGGCTCCAAAAAGCTTCAAGAGGGGCTGGTCACTGGAAAGACCAAGGCATGATTAGAGGGTTGGGACTTTCAGCCTTACCCCCAACTTCTAGGGAAGGTAGAGGGGCTGAAGGTTGAGTTGATTATCAATGGCCAATGATGTAATCAATCATACCTACCTAATAAAGCCTCCATAAAACCCAAAGGGCAGGGTTCTAAGAGCTTCCAGGTTGCAAAATATGTGGAGGTACATGGAGGGCAGAATGTCTAGAAAGGGCAGGGAAGCTTCATGCCTCTTCCCCCATCCCTTGCCCTGTGCACCTTTTCCACCTGGCTATTTATCTGTATCTTTTGTAATATCCTATATTAGTCCCTTCTCACTGCTATAAATACCTGGGATTGAGTAATTTATAAAGAAAAGAGGTTTAATCAGCTCACAGTTCGGCAGGCTGTTTAGGAAGCACAGCAGCTTCTGCTTCTGAAGAGGCCTCAGGAGACTTACAATTATGGTGGAAGGAGAAGCCCACACATCTTAAACAGCCAGAGCAGAAGAAAGACAGAGAGTGGGGAAGTGCCACACACTTTTAAACAACCAGATCTCGCAACCACTCACTCACTATACAAGAGCAGTACCTAGGAGGAAATCCATCCAAATGATCCAATCACCTCCCACCAGGCCCCACCTCCAACACTGACGATTAAATTTGATGTGAGATTTGCGTGGGGACACGGATCCAAACCATATCACACCCTTTGTGATGAATGGGTAAATGTAAGTAGTGCTTCCCCTGAGTTCTGTGAGCTGCTCTAACAGACGAACCCAAGGAACGGAATCCTCATGGGAACCCTCAGTATATGACCAGTCAGTCAGTGGTATAGGTAACAACGTGCTACGTGGAATTGGCACCTGAGTGGAAGCAATCTTGTGAGACTGAGCCTTCAGCCTGTGGGATCTAATGCTATCTCCAGGTAGATAGTGTCAGAATTCAGTTAAATTACAGGATAATTGTGTCCACTGAAGAATTGGGTGTAGGTGGAGGAAAACCTCCACACATTTTGGTGACCGGAAGTAGTGTATTGGTCGAGTATGTGAGACTAGGAAAAACCATTTTCTTCTTATACATCTCTTACATTCCCTTTGCTTTGAAACTTTTTTCTCTGTGACTCAGGAATCTCATTCCATCATCAGCAAACTCCCTGATACACCAGCCTCTTCAATGACCATTCTTTAGCTGTGTAGGTATTTCCATGAAACATACCTGACTTCTCAGTTTCTTGATTCCATCTCCAATTACCTTCTCCACTGTGCTTCAGTCACTCAATCCAATGCCACCCTAGACCGTGTCATCAAGCCTCTGAACCCATGACTTTCGAGTCCTCCCGTTCTTTTCATTTGGTTATTTTCACCATGTTTATTTCCCAAACTTATTAAGATCTGTAGTCTTTCTGCTTTCTCCTTTCCTCTTATCCGCAATTCACTTGCTCTCCCCTCTTCCTCCTCTACTAAGGAAGGACTCCATTGCTCCTAACATTGGCCTCTGACTAGTGTTCTCAACTCCATTACTTCATTATGTTTCTGTTTTATCTGCTTGACAAATCTTAGAGTGTATACCTTGAACCCAGTTATCTGTCTCGGCCATTCCTTTACCTAGGCTGCTGGGCACTGCAGGAAAAAAAATCACCCTGTCACAGAGTGGGGCTACCTTAAATTCGTGCTCAGCAACCTCAAGTGGGGCCTCAGTGCTGCCTGCAACCCTACTCTATTCCCTGGCCTGCTCACTTTCTCAGTCTCCAGAGGGGCTACTTCAAGGATTCACCTCTTTCTACACCTCCATGTGTTGGTCTCTCTACCCTTCTCATTCTCAGTTGGTGATTTTCCCCCCACATATCAGAGTTGGGTGGGGTAGATGTTATGAGTTGTGAGCAGTCTCAGTTTTCCATTATGACCTATACACTTTTTTTTTTTTTTTTTTGAGACAGGGCCTCCATTGCCCAGGCTGGAGTGCAGTGGCGTGATCATGGCTAACTGCAGCCTCAACCTCCTGGGTTCAGGTGATCCTCCCACCTCAGCCTCCTGAGTAGCTGAGACTACAGGTGCACACTACTGTGCCTGGCTAATTTTTTGTAAAGATGGGGTTTCCTATGTTGTCCAGGCTGTTCTCAAACCCCTGGGCTCAAGTAATCCACCTGCCTCAGCCTCCCAAAGTGCTGGCATTACAGGCATGAGCCACCACACCCGGGTACAACCTATAAACTTACTTGCATCTTTACACAGTTTTTTGACCTTGCCTTTTATTATAACAGAAAAACTCCCCCTACTTCCATCCAAGGCCAATCTCTTGGCCTGATGCTCTGGGTCCCATCTCCCTCTGACTTCTCATTGACCTCACTCTCAGTTATTCCTTCACACTCCGACCTTTATAGTCAACCTCTTCCTCTCCACTGGCTCCTCCTTTCTCAGACTAAAAAAAACCACATTCCCTTCCATCTACCATCCTCTCTTCTCTTGCCAGCTAAACTTCTTGGAAAAGTTGTCCACTCACTGTTTTAACTTCCTCACCTCCCACTCACTCTCCAAAATTCCTCTCTCCAAAATAACCCATGGTCTCCATGTAGCTAAATTCAAGGGGCACTTTTCAGTTCTCTCCTTATTTGACCTGATGGCAGCACTTAACATGTCCTCCTTTTTGATGCTTTCTCTTTCCTGTGTATCTATGGCACCATCTACCTGCTCCCAGATATCTTTCTCCATCTCCAACCCTTCACTTGAGCTTCAGACCCTATAGGTTCCACAGGCATCTTAAACTCAAACTGAACTCATTTTCTCTTCAAATCTGGGTATCTCCTCCTGAGTTCTCCCTGGAGAACTGGAGAACTCCCTGGAGGTAGCACGGACTCATTGCTGCAGCTAGTCACTTGTGTATCATTCCTTACTGCTATCTTCATCATTCCTCATGTCCAGTTGCATCACCAGGAACCCTTGATCCTCCCACCTGAATACCTCTCCTACCTTATTTCTTGTCTCTTTCCCCTCTACTCTCATCAGGTATCACCTAAACCCTTGTTTCCAGGCTTCCTCTCAAACCATTCCCCATGCAGTAGCCATGTGAGTGTAATGAGCAAGGAGTCTCACAGATGCAAGAGTCCACAAACCCTCAGGTGTGTGGTCACGGAACGTTTTTTCCTAGAGAAAATTTGATTTCTGAATCTGAACCTCCAGCCTTCCTCTTGGCAGACAACTTTATCTAGATTATCTTAAATGAATTCAATGATTTGTCTGTCAACTGAGATTCCACAAATATTTTAGTTCAGAATTCAGTTTCGAACCTTCCTTCCCCTGTTCTTGCCTCCTACTCTTGGGGTTCCTGGGGCTGGCTACCCAAGGGAAGTGGGGAAGCAGATGAAGGTCCATGTATGAGTAGCAGGTGGGGCTGGGGGAGCTGTCCATCTAGTCTTTTCCGGGGTGGTTCCAAAGCGCTAATGCCATTGTTGTCTATTCTCTCAGCATAGGCAGGCCCCAGCGTGCCCTCTAGAATACCAGATCCTGCTGGTTCTGAAGGGTGAGGATGGGCTGTCTGGGTGCACATGCAGGTCCCATGTAGCTTCATCTCACAGAGGGGCAGCTATGTCCCCCACAATGCCAGCAAGCAATCCAGGAACATTTCTTCCTTTTGCCCTGCTCATCTGCTTTCATATCAGATCATTTCTTCTCCTCACACAGCACAGAGGTGAAAAACCAGTTCACATTTATACATCTGTATGAGCTGGTTTCATTTTAATTATTTCACCTCTGAGTTAAAAGTGCAGAGTTAAATTGTGCAATATAGAGTCTGGATTTCTCTCAGCAGCAATCTCCACAATCATTAATTTGCTTTCCACTCTCCTGGCACAAGAGTCAGGTGGGGTGTGTGCCTGTTTTTCTGTGTATGTGCATGTTGGTCGGGGCAAGGATCAGGCTGGCAGCCCAGAGCCCAAGTAGAGAAATTAGTGGGGAGAATACATTCCACTAATACTTCACATATTATTCTGTCATGTGTTCTTTCTAAATCATAAATCTGAACATGTCTTTCACCTGCCTAAAGCCATCTTCAGCTTCCCCATTGCCTTTAAGATAAAGTCTAAGCTTGTAAACTTGATTTACAAGTTAAGATCTGTTTACAGATGACCTTTCCCATCTCATTTGCCACAATTTCCTCTCTTCTTTCAGTTCTGTGGGTTCACATACTCTCTTGCCTCTGGAGTTTCTCACATTCCTAGAAGATTCTCTTCAACTTTTCCCTACACCTGGCTAATTCCTGCACGTTTCTCTGATCTCTGGTTAAACACCACCTCTTCTCTAAGTCCTCCTTGTCCTCCCTCCCACCTCTGACTTTGATTTCTCCCTGCTATGCACACCCATAACCTTCTCATATCAAAGCACTTACCGTATCTAATTTTTTTAATTTGTTTTCTTTCCCACTTGACTATAAATGCTTTTAAGGCAAGAATATCTGTCTTGATCAGTGTTCACTCTCCAACACTAACATGTGGCTGACACCTGACAGGTACTCAATAAATATTGTCAAATAACAAATGAATAAATGACTAAAAAATAAATTGAATGTGAAAGCCAGGTGCTGGCTTTATGTGCTATTTTTTTTTTTTTTTTTGAGACAGAGTCTCACTCTGTTGCCAGGCTGGAGTGCAGTGGTGCAATCTCAGCTCACTGCAACCTCTGCCTCCAGGGTTCAAGCGATTCTCCTGCCTCAGCCTCCCAAGTAGCAGGACTACAGGCACGCGCCACCACGCCCAGCTAATTTTCGTATTTTTAGTAGAGATGGGGTTTCACCACGTTGGCCAGGATGGTCTCGATCTCTTGACCTCGTGATTCTCCCATCTTGGCCTCTGCAAGTGCTGGGATTACAATTGTCAGCCACTGCACACGGCCTGACTGTCTTTTACTCTATAGCAGGACTTAGTACTTTACTGTGTTTTCCCAAAAGCAAATCAACTCCACAGAGCAGAAGTGAGCCATGTAGATTTGACCGACAATTTTATGATGAGATATAAGAGAAGGTTTAAATGGCAGGCATTTCTGGTCTCCCCTCAGCGTTCCTCCTCTTTGATTTCCAGACATTGGGTCTTCCTCTCTTTTGAGCCTCCCTTCCTCCCACACTTTCACCCCCAACTCAGCCTCGACTTCCCTTTTCTGAGTAAATATCACCCTGAAAGGACTATGGAGGATGAATTGGAGAGAGATGAGGCTAGTATCAGGGAGTTCCATTTAATAGGCAATTGAATGAGGCCAGGCAGAGATGATGAAGCCCTGAGTTAAGAAAATGACAAAATGGTCTGAATCCCAGGACTTTGGAGGCTCAGGTGGGAGGATTGCTTGAAACCAGGAGTTCAATACCAGCCTGGGCAACGCAGTGGACTCTGTCTCTACGAAACAGAAATTTTTTAAAAAGGAAAAGAAAATGACAAAATGAAGAGCAACTGGGGGGTTTACAAGATGTTTGGGAGGGAAGATCAACAGGATGTGAGAATTGATTGAATTGGAGTAGAAGAGAAAGAAGAATATAGGGCATGTGTCAAGGTTGGGTGAATGCAAGAGGAGAAATAAAGAGAAGAAAAGAGGGTAGGGGTTGAGAGTTCCATAAGGTTAGAATTATTACCAAGGGAAGTATGAAAGAGGATTAAGCAGAGAAGGACCAGTATAAGGATTATTATCACCTGAGAGTCTAACAGGTTAGAGACCAAAATTGGTATGAGCACTAGTATTTAAATTGTGTAATGTAGAATCACGGTCCCTCTCAGTGTCAGACTATCTCCACAATTATTAATTTGCTTTCCACTCTACTGATAAAAGAGTCAGGTGGGGTGCTTGCATGTTTGTCTGTGTATGTGTGTGTTGATGGAGGGAAAGGTGCAGGTTGGCAGCCCAGAGCACAAGTAGAAGAGAAATGATTGTGTGATTTTCTTTAATAACAACAACTTGGGCTGCCTATGGTAATAGCTGAGAAAATGGGTGGTAGGTTGATCAAAGACAGGATTTCTGAGACTTTGGGCCAGAAGGACCAAGAGGCAAACTGATTGATGATTTTATGAAAACAATGTTCAAAGTGACAAGCAACGGCATCTAGGCTCAATAGGGATAGAAATGAGCTGGGGTGGGGTTGACAGATTGGGGAGTTGCTGGGGATAAAAGAGCAGGGGCCATGCATGGTGCAATGTTTACAGGAAATAGAAGTCCATAGGATGCGGGACCCGAGAGAAAAACAAATTGTGGAAAGGAGAAGTTACTCTTCTTTCTGTGAAATGAAACAGAAGAAGAGAGATCATCTTTAAGTATTTCTCAGTAGAGAAAAAGCAATGAGATGATACTCACATTGGAGAATCTTGACTTCCTCTATTAAGCAAAAGGAGAAAGGTGCATGCAGTGGTAGGACTAGGGCTTGAGGAAAACGGGAAGGATTTAGAAAAGGAGTCAGCTGATATTGGCTTGGATCAGATTTTTACATTTTTAATTTCCATTTTCAGCAATATCTTTTGCTTGAGAGCAGAAACAGAAGGTACGTGGTGGACTTCACTGAGGGATGGAGATTTTGAAGACAGGAATGGATGAAGAACTAAGTGAGTGAGGGCATCTACCGGGATTATTGCTGAAATCCTTATGAGGGTAGCTGGCGGAGAGAAAGGCAGTGAGGACTGATGGGCCCTTTGCACTGTGAGAACAGTAGAGGAGAGGGAGCAGTGGTCATGAACAAACAGAAAGTTCAGTGGCCCCAATAAAAATAACATTCAGAATCTTCCAGATACTTTGTCCATAACATGAAAAAGTAAATGCCCCTTTAAATCATTAACTAAACTGGCACTCAGATCTGGGCAGGCCCTCCCAGGTCAGGCTGTTCTGTTTTGCCAGGAATTGATAACCTTCGTGACCCCTCCAGGGTGAGTGAGCATGATCCATCTTTCCTGTCTGGACAAGCTTGATCCGGCCTCCTTCCTCCTGCTGAAGCAGGCCTGAGCTGTGTGCCAGGATTCCATGTCTTATGCTAATATGCACATTCCACATACCACCTCCTGCTGGTACTGCCTTTAGGCTTTTAGAAGGCCCTGCTTTGACCCCTCCTGCCTGTACCCCTCACTCCAGAGTGAGGAGACTGTGGCACCCAGGGGATGTGTCCACTCAGAACCACCTTACCACATTGCTTCCTTCTAGACTACACTCTGGATAACTTGGACCACCTCAGAATTCCTTGCTCAAATGCCCCAAGCCCACTTCCAGGGTCTGCCTATTCTCCAGACCCATCCTCCCAAGGAAGGGCAAACCATGTCACTAGTGTGTGTGGTCAGCCTGAGAGGTGGCCAAGGGTAGCCTATTTGCAGAGGCATGCACGGGGTATGGATATGTGAATTTGGGCATCTACATGCATGCATGAGAGGCCCTTCTCATTCAGAGTCAAGAATGGGAAGAGAAGGGGAATGTTTCAGGTTGGGGTTCAGCTCTCCCCACATTTCTCTGTCCTGGTGCAGAACTCCAAGGAGTCCAAGCCTTGCACATTCAAACCTGACCTTCAGGTCTTTTGGAAGACAGAGTTATCAAGGTAGGAAAATAGAACATATTTTATTTAACGGTTTGACTTAAAACTTTTATATCATTAGACACGTGGAATATGGGCCTCCATTTGTACTCTTGCCCTTGGCCCCACAAATGTTAGGGAGAGGCCTGGCTCCTGCAATTTACTATTTACCTGTTGTGAAGAATAGCCCTTCAAAAGTATTATTGTAAGTCTATTTGACATAATATGTCCAAATTGTATTACAGAGTGGTAAAAAACAACAATCCACTAAAAATCCTCTTTGAATTTCTAAAAACATTTTGGTAGCCTAAAACCTTTCCCCAATTTTTGATCTCACTTCATGTCATTTGAGACAGTATGTTTTCCTGTTTAATTAATGTTTATATTTAAACTGAATGTTCTAGAAGAATTGTGTATGTTTTTATTCTATTGTGACATTCAAGGTAGGCAGCTGAGCCTTAAGTATAAGCCCCATCAGCTAAGTAAACATAAAACATATCTTCAGTACACCCTTTCGATCTTGAGGGTTATTTATCACTTTTTCAAAGTGATAAATAAGTTCCAAAGTTCCAGATAGTTACTGATACATTCAATCTGACCAGTGCTAGATTTGAGACTTGTCCCACAGATCCACACAGTATATCTTCATTCCTTCATTAATAGATCTTTTTTTTTTTTTTTCATTTTTATAAAATGTTTTTGGAGACACGGGGTTTTCACTATGTTGCCCAGGGTAATCTTGAACTCCTGGCCTCAAGCAATCATCCCAACTGAGCCTTCCAAAGTATTGGGTTACAGGTGTGAGCCACCACACCCAGCCTAGATTGCAATGAAGGGAGTAGAATTAGGTGACACTGAAAATGTTGGGTCATAAACCACAGTGAAGGAAAGAGAGGCAGCTGTTAGATCATCTGACTTGACCCATGGTGCTCATCCATTTGCGCCTTGGCAAGCCCTCTACTACATCTGAATCTCAAAATGGGGGACGAGCTCTTGGAAGAGTCTATGCTAGGACCCTTCTAGTAGTAAACAATCTGCAAACAAATCTTGAAGACTTATTTGCTTGATATCAGTTTGAGAGGTGGGAGGTTCCGTTTCTAAATTTAGAGTCAGGAAAGAGCATTGATCTAGGCTTGAGAAGCCTCCATTTCTTCACTCAAAGCTCTGATTAGGTTGTTGGTTGAGTGACACAAAGCAATCATCTCACTTTTCTTTTCCTGAGCTTCTCCTGCTATAGAATGTAGGCAGGAGTGTGGAGGGGGAGAATTTATTTCATTTCCTGTTTTCCAAACTTACTAAACTGTGGAAACTTTCTTTTGCAGCATTGGGCAAAACTAATGTTCTAAGGAACACTCTTTAGGAAAGGTTAGCCAGCTCAGTAGTTCTCAACAGGCGTGTGGTACACACTTAGTAATATCTGGAGATGTGTTTGATTGTCACAGCTGGGGATCCAGGGATGCTGCTAAGCATCCTGCAAAGCCTAGGATAGCCCTCCACAGCAGAGAATCATCCAACTCAAAATACCAATCAGTCTAAGGAGTTGAAAACCTCTGGACTGGATGAACTATCTCAATTCTCTTTCAACACTAACATTTAAATGTGGTGTTTCTTGTTTTTTAAACATACAAAATTTTATTTCTCTTGTCAGCTGTGAGTCTGGATGAATCTGCAGATAGTTTTCTTCCACATGTTGGCTCCATAATTCAGCTGCTTTGATTTTTTTGACATCTTCCTATTAATATGTGCTTCTATGATTTCCTTGGCAGAGAAACAGAAACCAGAGAGAATCATATTCTGAATCTTAATTGCTTCTATCTGTATGTAATAAATGTCTCTTCTGCTTTTTTTTTTAAATAAGAAGCTTTACTGAGATATAATCCATGTATCATATAACTTACTCATTTAAAGCTTAAAAGTTGGCTGGGTGTGGTGGCTCACACCTGTAATCCCAGCACTTTGGGCGGTTGAGGTGGGTCGATCTCTTGAGCCTAGGAGTTTAAGACTGGATTGGGCAACACGGCAAAACCCCATCTCTACAAAAAATACAAAACTTAGCCAGGCATGGTGGCAGCATCTGTAATCCCAGTTATTTGGGAGGCTAAGGTGGGTGGGAGTATTGCTTAAGCGTGGGAGGCAGAGGTTGCAGTGAGCCAAGATTTTGTCACTACACTCCAGCCTGGGTGACAGAGTGAGACTCTGTCTTAAAAAAAAAAAAAAAAAAAAAATTCAGTTAAAATAAGATGTAAAACTCTGTAGTTTTTAGTGTATCTACAAAATGTGTGCAATCATCTCTATACTCAGTTTTAGCACATTTGAATTACCCCCAGAAGAAACCCTGTACCTGTTAGCAGTCATTACCAATTTTCTCTCAACACCGCCACCTCAGCCCTAGGCAACCACTAACCTATTTTCTATCTCTATAGGTTGACCTATTCTGGATATTACATATAGATAGAATCATGTCCTTTGTAACTGTCTCCTTTCACTTTGCATAATGTTTTCAAGGTTCATTCATGTTGCAGCATTCTCAATATTTCCTTTCTATTGCTGAATAATATTCCACTGTATGAATATAGCACATTTTATTTATCCGTTTATCACTTGATGGACATTTGAGCCATTTCTACTTTTTAGATGTTATTAATAATACTGCTATGAACATTTTCCTGCAAGTTTTTACATGGATGTATGTCTTCATTTCTCTTGGATTATATACCTAAGAAAGGACTTGCTGGATTATATGATAACTTTATGCTTAGACTTTTGAGAAACTACCAGACTGCTTTCCAAAACAACTGTGCCATTTTACATTCCCACAAGCAACGTATAAAGTTTCTAATTTTTCCACACCCTCACCAACACCTAAATTATCTGTCTTTTTGATTCTAGCAATCCTAGTGTATGTGAAGTCGTTTCTCACTGTGATTTGGACTTGTATCTTCTTGAAGGCTAATGATAGAGAGCATCTTTTCGTGTGCTTATTTTCTCTTCTTTATATAAATATCTATTCAGTTCCTTGGCACATTTTTAAATTGGGCTATTTGTCTTTTCATTATTGAGTTGTAAGAGTTATTTTTATTTATTCTAGATACAAATCCCATGTTAGATAGGTGATTTGCAACCTATCTAATTTCCTATTCTAACCTATTTCCTCCCATTCTGTAAATTTCTTGCTGGTGTCCTTTGAAGCATAAAAGTTTTCTGTTTTGATGAAGTCAAATGTGTATGTTTTCTTTTGTTGCTTGTGCTTTTGATGTCATATCAAAAAACAATTGCACAACCCAAGGTCACAAAGAGTTATGTCTATGTTTTCTAGACTTTTATCATTTTAGCACTTACATTTAGGTCTTTGGTCGTGTGTGTGTGTGTGTGTGTGTGTGTGTGTTTTAATATTTGGTGTGAGGTAAAGGTCCAATTTCATTCTTTTGCATGTGATATCCAATTATTCAGAACCACTTATTGAAAAGGCTAGTTCTTCTTCATTGGATTATCTTGGCACCCTTGTCAAAAATAAGTTGACTGCAAATGTGAAGGAATGTTGAGTTGTTAAAATACCTCCTCTGTGATATCTATAATTTTTTTCTAAAATGATAAATTATGTCACTTCTCAAATTACAATAACTCTTTTAAATCAAAAGTTCAACATAGAAGCACTTTCACAATTTTTCGTTCCCCCAGAGCCACTTAATAAACTCTATTTGCAGATAAAAGAATGCTTTCCCTTCAAAGGTATTGCACCAACACTGGAAACCCAAATCTAAATAAGCTGGGAAACTGAGGAAACACAGAAAGTCTCCTTAATCTCTGGGCATTTGCTCTCTCTAATTTCTCCTTTTTATGCTCAGTTTTTCCCTCTTATCCAGAAATGTAACATTACCTTTTTATAAAATTCCTAGAGATTGAACATCTCTCTAATGTTTGGGTCTAGAATGTATTTCTTGGCTAAAAAGATCTCTTTACCCCACTTCCACATGTGGAAAGAAAGAAAACATGGGACTCTAATCTCACAAATGAGGCACGGGGTTGTTTGCTCAAATGAGACAAGAACTT